TAACATCATCCAACACTAATACAGGTAATATCATCCAACACTAATACAGGTAATATCATCCAACACTAATACAGGTAACATCATCCAACACATACACAGGTAATATCATCCAACACTAATACAGGTTACATCACCCAACACTAACAGAGTTGTGGAAAACTGCCGGTCATGCCGGCAAAACCGATTAAAAATGCATGTGACCGGTAAAAATGCCATCAATGTCGGTCCAAATGACCGGTCAAGTTTTTTGTTTAAGTTTTGTTTTTTCGTTTATCTTCGGCGCACTTACCAGCGCAGTTATCATATAAATTGAAACTGCGATTGCGCAATACTTCCTCTTTAAACGAGATCGAGGCTAATATTAAGATTAAGTGAAACCAGCATGGCTTCGTCAAGTTCGTGGCCAATTAAGTTCAGTACTGGCGCGATACCAGGTAAAAAACGTAAAACCAAAGATGAAAACAAAGCTAGATATGAACAATCTCGGAAGAGGGAATTTAAACACAGTTGGACAGAGGGGCGGGAATGGCTAAACTACGACGGTGAGAAAATGACGTGCAGTATCTGCATTGACAATAACAATAACAGTACCTTCGTGCCAAAGAACCGTGAACAAAATTTTCTGGTCGGTTCTACTAATTTCCGATACTCTACTATCTCTGACCATGAAAATTCTGCTCTCCATCGAAGATCCATGGAAATATTACGAGCTAAAAGGGATGCGGAGGAAAACCGACAATCTGTTGCCCAGAAAACATTACTAAGGCCAAAATAAAAAATACCCCTGTTTCCTGTCACCCGACCTACCCTACATTTTACCCTCCGATCCTAAAAGTTTTTATTACATTTTCATTTTTTGGATAACTTTTTTTCTAAAATACTGAAGTTGACCAATGATATTTACAGAATTAATACATCACAAGTGTACAGGTTACCTTTACTTTATAAATCTTGATTAACAAACTTGCTTTGAAACTGTTAACATATCATTTTCTTGTTATTACAGTTATTACATGCTATATGTTCTGCATTCATTTAATTTTGAAAATAAAATTTTTTTCTCAAAATAAAATTTTTTCCCTACCTACCGACCCTAATTTTTTTGGTCAGGGGACAGGAAACAAGAGTATATTTTATTTTGGCCTAACCATGAATCAATCCATTAGAAACATGATAGAACTAAAGTTTCGAAACATCCACGCAATAATTAAACATAACCGAAGTATTTCCGATTTTGATTGGATGAATTCCCTTGATGAGGCAAAGGGAATGCAACATGGCTCAACTTACAACAACAGATGGGCAGCTACAGCATTCATAGAGTGTATTTCTGACACTTTGAAGGAAGAAATGTTATCACAGATTAAAGGTACGAAGTTTTTTTCTTTGACTATGGACGGAACCACTGACAGTGGGACTGCTGAGCAGGAGACACTTTTCATTAGATTTTGCTCTGCTGGGAAAATAAGTTGTCATTTTCTCTGTATTGGAGAGCCAAGATCTACAACTTCGGCTGACCTATTAAAGTTTGTTAAAGATAAACTTGATGAAAATAAACTGTCTGATCAAATGAAGAAACTTGTGGGCTTTGGGTGCGATGGAGCATCCAATATGATGGGAAAGCGTAATGGCCTTGTTGCATTACTGCAGAAAGACTTCACGGAGATAATCGGAGTTCATTGCCTGGCACATCGACTTGAATTAGCATACAAGGATGCAGTTAAGAATGATCCACTCTACAATCGCCTTACCACCCTACTTCTTCGATTATATTACTTTTACAAAAACAGTTCCAAACAGAGAAAAAACTTGAAAGAATGCATGAAGGTATATATGCTGTTTGTTTATTCTGGCATGAAATAAAATCAAATTAACTTACAGTTTGTTGTGAATGAACATCTGTTATTAATAATAAAAAAAAAAGTTATGTCATATTACAATCTTGATTTTTTTTCTTCAATCAGGTTTTGAACTTGATAGGTACTCTACCTCACCGAGTAAATTCTACAAGGTGGCTACCTCACATGAGAAGGGCTCTGGACACATTATTCACCTCTTACCCGGCTTTTTCTCACCACCTGCAGGATGCATCACACACGAATGCAAAGGCAAATGGGCTTGCACGCTTGCTTGAATCATCCTCAATTATGACATATGCAGGCTTGTTATTGGTAAGTAACTGTTATTAAATTTTCAAAAATTAAAATGGTTACTTTTATACACATATACAAGTGTTATGTTTTAATTGTATATATATTATTTCCTTGATGTATTTTGGCACAGGAGATCATTAGTTGAATTGAGAGGTGGCTCATTTGATGTGAAACAGAGGAGTTGTAGTACGGTTGAGAAGATAATAGAGAAAATCAGTGAAAGATACCAAGACCTCAGTGGGGAGCTTTTGGATGCCACCACTATTGGATCTTTGAAGAACTGGCCAATTGAAAACCAAGAAAGTAAATAAATTGTTTTTGTTGTTCTGTTGTTCTGTTATTGCATGACAGTTCTTGTTCTTTTCCCTCCCTAGTTTAATGATTTTTGTTCACAAATTTTGTTTGTTTGTTTTTTCAGCTCTTTTTGTTCAAATTCAATAAATGATGCTGGACCAAATGGTAAGCCTAAAAGGTGTATTGAGCATTTAACAAAATTCTAGTGCTATATTGTGTTACGATGTTTTTTTTTTGTTTTCCCGGGTAATTAACCATTATAGGTTGTTGATGTGAATTTTGTAATCAGTTTTAATATGCAAGGTTATATGTTAAATTTCTTCATAACAATTTTTTTCATTAATATAAATAATTATTATTAATTGAATATTTCCAAGTATATTTACATGCATGTCTTTCCACAGAATTTGGATCAGATCATGTGAAAACTCTGGTGAACAGGTTCAGCAATACACTGGAGAATGCTCAAATAAATGTCTCTGAGATTATGGAAGAGTGGCAAATGTTGAGATGTCTTGTTTACAGAAGGTATGTTTTTTCAGTATACAGCACACACCATTTTTAACAGTTTAAATGGCAAAATGTTTAATAAAATGACAATTTTCTGTGTGATTATAAAATGCTTTAAGTTTTATTATAAGGATGATGTGACATAACTGCTATCTGTGGCCCCTTTTTCCACGACGAATTATATTTAATCTACAACGATGTTGGTTGTTTTCAAACATGAGTGAATAAATACGACGCCTTTTGAATAGTTTCAATAGTTCAGACACATTTTGATTATAAGGAATACTGCATTATCTTTGATTTTTTAGACCCTATCACAGCTAAATTCGGCCAGGTTTGTGTGAATATTTTCTTTTATGGCAAGAGAATGGGCGGGTCTTAGTTCAATAGAGGGATATGCGTGCCGAGAAGACCTTATATGGCTATTGTTATTATTTCGCACTTAGTCATTGTCCAATCCGATGACAGAACAACAAAACATGCTGGTTTACTACGTTTATATTTTTTCGCAGACACGTGGTTTTGATCAAAATACCTGTTGTCTTTTTCTACATTTCAAACTTTTATAATGGTCAGCCAATGCTGTTTATACTTAATAATAGGCATGGATTTTTAGCATTTACGGTTTTTAGGACAAGAAATGCACATGAAACTTGTATTCACCGATACTCGGGAATACGAGAAGACCTAGCGAATTGCTCACCAAACACGGTACAAAACTTTAAACTAATGTAAATCATGTATATTCTATTAATTGTTTGTAACTATATATAAATTTTATTGTGGTCTCTGAAAAGGACATATGTAGTTCCGTGTCTAATCTGTCACTCAAATGTATAAAAAATATCGGAAAGCAGTAAAATTCCAAAGCATGTTTCCATAGTATTTTTGTGGTACTCACTCGTAATGAATTTCATTTAGTTGATTGGTCAGTTAGAAAGTATCGCCTGTGCCTCGTTTAGCATATGAATTCATTCTTACGTCAGAAAATCTAGTTCCTTCGTTTTGTTTATACTGGAAAATGCCAACTAGATTTTACATTTTTAGGTCACCTGAGTAAACTCAGGTGACCTATTGCTATCTGTTTTCGTCCGTCGTCGTGCGTCATGCGTTGTGCGTTAACATTTGAACATTTTCAGCTTCTTCTCTGTAACCACTGAACCAATTTCAACCAAATTTGGCATAAAGCATCTATGGGTGAAGGGGAACAAAAATTGTGAATTTCATGATCCCTGCCCCCCTGGGGCCTGTGGGGTGGGGCCAAAACCACTAAAATTAGTGCAATCTTTAAGCAGACAAACTGTTTGCATGATTGTAATCAGCAATGAGTCCTCTACCAAAATTGTGAAATTCATGGCCCTGGGGTCAGGGGTTCTAGTGCTAGGGCGGGGCTGAATAAGTAGGTAGTGAAAATGCATTATTTCTTTGAAAATCTTCTTCTCTGCTCCTGGGTATTCAATAAACCAACTAAGTACATAGTTAAGATAAACAAGAGTGCCTCTACCAAAATTGTGAATTTTATGGCCCCAGGGTCAGGGGTTCTGGTGTTAGGGCGGGGCTCTATTGATTATATAGTGAAAATACATGAATTCTTTGAAAATCTTCTTCTCTGCTCCTGGGTATTAAATAAACTAACTAAGTACATAGTTATGATGAGCAAGAGTGCCTCTACCAAAGTTGTGAATTTTATGGCCCCAGGGTCAGGGATTCTGGGCGGGGCTCTATTGATTATAAAGTGAAAATACATGAATTCTTTGATAATCTTCTTCTCTGCTCTTAGGTATTAAATAAACTTACTAGGTGCATAATTATGATGAGCAAAGGTGCCTTTACCAAAGTTGTGAATTTTATAGCCCCAGGGTCAGGGGTTCTGGTGTTAGGGTGGGGCTCTATTGATTATATAGTGAAAATGCATGAATTCTTCGAAAATCTTCTTCTCTGCTCCTGGGTATTAAATAAACTTACTAAGTACATAGCTATGATGAGCAAGAGTGCCTCTACCAAAATTGTGAATTTTATGGCCCCAGGGTCAGGGGTTCTGGTGTTAGGGTGGGGCTCTATTGATTATATAGTGAAAATACATGAATTCTTTGAAAATCTTCTTCTCTGCTCCCAGGTATTAAATAAACTTACTAGGTGCATAGTTATAATGAGCAAAGGTGCCTCTACCAAAATTGAGAATTTTATAGCCCCAGGGTCAGGGATTCTGGTGTTAGGGCTGGGCTCTATTGATTATATAGTGAAAATGCATGAATTCTTCGAAAATCTTCTTCTCTGCTCCTGGGTATTAAATATACTAACTAAGTACATAGTTTTGATGAGCAAGAGTGCCTCTAACAAAATTGTGAATTTTATGGCCCCAGGGTCAGGGGTTCTGGTGTTAGGGCGGGGCTCTATTGATTATATAGTGAAAATACATGAATTCTTTGAAAATCTTCTTCTCTGCTCCAGGGTATTAAGCAGATCAACTACCAATATAGTTATGATGGTCAAGGGCCCATATCTTCCACAATTGTGAATTTCAAGGCCCCGGGGTCAGGGGTACCATAGAAGGGGGGGGGGGGTTGTACTTATATACTGGAAATGATGAAAAGTTTGAAATCTGCTCCTTGGTATTGATCAAATATCAAGGCCTAAGGGTCAGGGTTCATGTATGGTAGGGGCACTACTGATTATTGCTGAATATTACTGATTAGTTGAAATGCATTTTGTGTTCCCTTACCCTGCGTCTGGGTATTAAGTAAACAAAATAAGCAACTGCGAAGTGTATTGTTATGATGATGAATGGTGCCTCTTTCAAAATTGTGAATGCCATAGCATCTGGCTTAAAACATGAATCAAATTCAATCACTGGAAAGTTGTTTCATAATGCTCAGGTGACCTATAAGGCCCATGGGCCTCTTGTTTTAAAATAGCATGTGAGCGCAGTTAGGTACAATTTTCTCCTTTCACATATAGGTAGATTTGAATAAAATACAGTGACCAGCCAAAGGAGAAAATTGTACCTACCTGCGCTTGTATATTTAAAGGGCTTCAAAGAGTGGGGTGGGGTTAAAATGCAATGGGAATTGAATGTAAACATAATACCCCTACCACAATTAAAGATCTATATCTTTCAAATCACGTTTCTGTTTTTGTTTAAAATAGTATTCTATAAAGGTACACATATCAGTGATAAGTTACATACAAAAATTTCAGTAAAATTTAGAGATTTAATTTTTTGTCAGTTTACGAGGGGCCGCAAGTCACCTCATCCTTTATTTCTGTTACATGCATTTGTGGGTATTTCAGATTTGGTGGGCAATTTATGGTTACCTCTTGGCAAGATATCCATGCTGCCTTTGGTGAAAGTGGTGTGCCAAACATCCTTGCTCTGATAGATCTTATACACAGTCTTGCTCCCACAAGTGTCATTAATGAAACTGGTTTTAATCAGCTGAAGCTGATTAAAACTGACAGGAGGCATCGTTTGACAGAAAGACACCTCAATGACTTGATGGTCATAAGATTGCAGTCTCCTTCTATAGTCAACTTTGACCCCAACCCTGCTATTGACAAATGGATGGTGAGTTATTATAAAGAAGGAATTGTGTATTTAAATGACTGTAATTAAGCAAGAAGAATTGATTTATTTCATTATTTTTTCTCAGGTATCCCCATCAAGACAAAGAAGCCGTGGAACATACAAGAGAGGCAAAAAAAGACCCCAATCAGAAGAACGGTGTGAAGTGGCAGAAGTGACAGTAGAGATAGAACTTTTGAGGGAGAGTGAGGGTGAGAATGAAGTTGAGAGTGAGCCTGAGATAGTAGAGACTGAGAGGCAAGGTGTGGAAAGAGAAGAGGTAGACAGAGAAAGTGATGAAGACTCAGAGGAGGACCTGGAACAGAACTTAGATACGAATGATAACATGTTGAGAGAAATCATAGAGGAAATAGAAATGGAGACTGAGTAGATTTATATTAAATCTGCTTAGTGTCCTTTTCTATCTTTTCTATAAATGAGTTATATTATGAAGTAATAAAAGAACTTCAAGATAAAAAAATAGATGTTTTTTTTCCTGCGACTTAAGTTTTCGGACTGGTTAAAATTGCTTCGGACTGGCTTGTTTTGTCTTCTAGCCAGTCCGAATGACTGGTTACCTGAAAAAGTTTTCCACAACTCTGCACTAATACAGGTAACATCATCCAACATTAATACAGGTAAAACCATCCAACACTAATATACTAAGTGTTGGTGTATGGGGATTGGGGTGGGAGTAGTTATGTAGAATTGAAGGTTTTCTAAACATTGAAAAGATTGTTAATCAGAATATCTTTCCGTTTATAAATTACGAGATACGTAATATATTTACTTCCATAAAGTGAATCTGTAAAAATATAAATGTTTTTCATATTTAATATGTATAGTTACTTATCATTTACTATCGAAACAACGGCAGGTCCCTTTTTTAGAACATCGAATTTTACTTCTTGGATAAAAATGTACGCTGCACAGTTTGTGTTTTATATTCTAAAATTGAAAATTAATACAATTTTAAATATAAATGATGCGTGTGTCCATCTTTAATTTATATTTTATGCAGCCAACATTTACTTGAAGAATTGATCAAGTTTAAAATGGTATTGTTTTTGATTGATTTTTATCCGACTTCAAGTTTTTAAAAAAATATTTGTGACTATTGTCTCCATCACATGCCTTTTTACACATTTCGATGCGGTTTGTTGACTCATTTTCATTGTTTACTTTATATATTTTCCTGGCGACAATTGATGGTTACATCAATGTTTTCAATAATTCTTGTACTCTTTTGACACTATCCCTCTGTTATACTCTTTTGACACTCTCCCTCTGTTATACAGGTGACACAGATTGTAGACAGAATCCTATCGTTTCCTGTGACATCACCTGTTGTCAAGTTCCTCACCGGTCTGGAACTTCTGCTGGAGAAAACTCAGGTAAGTCACTCACAAGTGGATTAATAAAATCATCAAAATGTCGTAAACCTAATCATTGATAAAGCAGATTTTGAGTGGACATATCTTGAGTTTAAATTATGAATGATTTTGAGGTATATATTGTATAGGAATGGGAAAGCAATGCAGCTAAGCATGTTTCTATGGCAACCCAGTTGTCAGAAGTTTCTTCTAAGATTTTGGACTGGAGAAAACTAGAGCTCAGGTAGGCAAACATCTGGTTCTCAGTATCTAGAGCTTAAATTTGTAATCATAGTATGTAATCAACCTTATAATTTAAAAATAAAAGGCTTGATTTCAAAATATTTTCCCCCAAACTACAAAATTTGAACCTTTTCAAATATAAATTATGATATAACAGCGTATTCTGACATTTTCCAGCTGTTGGAAGCAGTGCCTAGACAATGTCTTTGTAAAGCAGTCCAAGAAAGCTAACAAATGGTGGTTCCACATCTATCAACTTATCCAGGCAACTTGTCAACAGGTAAGAAAGCATTCCCTCAGAAGTTCATAACCTTCTTGTTCTTAATCTTAATCATCATAATGTTTAAAATTATTATACTTTAGGAGGAGACTTCAGAAGGTTCAGATTCAGAAGAGAAAGACGTGTCAGAGGTAATGCGGACCCTGAAAGAGTTCATGGAGAGGTCCAACCTAGGGGAATTTGAGGCTCGACT